CATGCGCTCACCTGTTGGTTGGCTTGAGCAGCATTTCTCGTTGAAGCTTATCTGTAGCGTAGAGGGAACGGGACACGGTATGTCTACTGGCGGTTTGCTCCTAGGGTTATATACCACCGTGGAATGGTCTCTGGTGGCACGAGTCACGAAACGCGGTGTCCCATCCACAATCACTCATAGCGACGCGGATAACAATCGCGCGCGATACCTTTTGTCTCGCTGTACCTCGGTAGTAGCAACCCTGAGACTGAGTGCAATCGTACAGCGCCCTCGATCTGTCACGGAATCGTGGGTTGCCGCTGACGGAGGTAATTGTCAGCGTAAAAAAACAAGACAACAGCTACGAGTCGCGACTATATTTAGACGCACCTCAATCATAAAACCCAGTAAAGCTCGACTTTGACGTTGTTCAGTTAGATCCGCACCGTCTGTGGTCGAGCCGCTTTTGGCACACACCTGTACACAACTTGTCCAGACCGACCAACAAAAGGGAGGACGTGCCTTGTTACGCACTCTACAGCAAATCATGGGAGAGTGACCAACAAGGAAACTCATCCATTCTTCACATACGCGGCCCACTCTTTACCTTTGTCCGAGCCTCCGTACAGCTTCTCGAGCTCTGTCCGCGTCAGGAACGCGTGGTCTTCCCAGGCGAACCCGGGAAAGACGACCTCCGTGATTAGACAGCCTACGTGGTCTTCTCGGGGTCGGCGGCGGCAGACAGATGGTCGGGTAGGAGGTGAGACATCTTCCAGATCCCGGAGGGAACGAGTAGTTAGAGAACTTCGCCCGCTTGTATGTTCGGGCTCAAAACCTGAGCAATGATGGGCGATAGGCATAACTATGATGAAGCCTTGTACAGGGTATTGACGAAATGGTGTGCGTACCTTCTTCTCGAGCTTGGGCGGGCTGCCGGGCGTTGAAGGACGGTTATGAGGTGTAAAACGTGCAAAGTCCAATAGTATAGGAGTTAGCAAATTTCCCTGTATACTCAAGAAAGACCATCGGACAGGAACGATCCATACTGCCGATTTGTTCATATGGAAAACCCCACGCTTCTCGTCGGGCGGTAGGAGATAGTAGATGGTGGTGGCGAGCGAGCGAGCGCGGTGCACCTCCTACAACGTAGAACGTACCAGCGCATGATGGCACAGTGTTTCATGAGTCGTCTCCGCAGATGGCTAGATACTGCGCTCTTACCAATAAACGGAGAGGTAACAGTCTCAGACTGGTGGTCTATCTCGGCGAAGTGTCCTGAGCGTGTCATGTGTGAGGACGGGCATCCAATCAACTACAATGTATGACTCGCAGTCAATGCAATGCAAAAAGGGAGGTGTGCGTTACTTACTGCCCTCTCGAAGCCTTTGCAGGCGTAGCTCAGGTATGAGAGTCGAGTTCGGGATCGAATCATGAACGATCCGCGCGTACAAGAACTTTAATCGGGGAAAGCCGCGCATCCTCCCCAGGTGTAGTGAGCGTAATACAGCGGAAAGACAATCAATCAGCCGGGAGAGTGGACATTGTCTCAGCGAGTGACCGCCGCGGTGCGAGTCGTCCAAGAGGCGTCGTCGTCCAGCACGGCGGTGGTGAATGCGTCGGCAACAGCCGAGCTTCAGCCACAGACGCGTCAGAGCGACCACCGACCCGTCCCCCCACATGCTCTCACTGCTCTCTGCGGAGCCACTGCCTTTCGTACACAGCAATCCGCGGATAAGGAGAACTTCATCGCCTGGCGATGTCTGCGAGTGCCTTCTGACGACTCCAATGTTTGTCCGCTGCTCCCGAACGTACGACACCTTGACCACCTCCCGGATGAGCACTCTCCGCCTTCGCAGGCGCATACTAACGGCTTGAATGACACTCTCCCTCCGTACTTGCATTGCTCGCAAACTCGATTGGTCCGCACGCCGTCCTACCTCGTATCGTTGGTTGCTTGTCTCCCATGGTCAAGCCGCGCTCGGCTGGCCATTCTGAGGGACAGACGAGTAGCCTACACGCAACGTTTCAACACGGCGAGCTTCTTCGTCGACGAAGGAGAGAAACCAATGATCTTACGGCGCATTCATTTGCTGAGTATAGGTGCACTGTACGTCCTGCTTGTCTGATTGATTGCCCGTCCGCGCCCTCACATATATTCACTGTTTTCGTGAACTATGTCGCCATCGGTTGTTGTGATGTTTCCCCTCGCCTACATCACATTCCCGACTCGACACTCTGTTGGCTTATGATGACCTCCGTACATTCAGGTTCGATCCCTCTTGGTGCACTCTTCGCCAGCCGAGTTCAACTCCATGTGTGCGGCCATCGAGGACTCAGGAGGTCGCCACCCTCCGCCGCCGCGGCGTCGCGCTCCTCAGGGCGTCTGCAATCCCGGTTCCTTCTCATTCAGTCTTCCCCGACTCCTCGCCCTGAGCAACATACGGGACCGCCCGCATTGGACCTTACACTGTGAATAACACATCCGTCCCGTAACATGGCGCTGACTGCATATCTATTTGCCCGCGCAGTGTGTAGGTCAGTGGTTGACATGTCGCTGTATACGCGCGGTATCTTCGCTTATGCCGAAATCTCAGGCATATTGCCATCTGGCTCGTGACCCGCTCCGTTATGCCCCGCAAATCGGTGACGCCACGCAACTCAACGGCGCAATTTTGATCTTGTTCGCCAAAGACTTGCTCTCGCTTACAGCCGGCACAGGGCTTGCGCTGGATCTATGTACTAACCCTTGTATACCCTCCGAAGGCTGGGATTGATCCCTACTAGCACTATTCACCATGATGCAATATGCATGCATGCTATGCACCATCACAACCTAAGCTCAACATGTACAGGTCCGTCTTCTCACCGTCGTATCTGGTGTATTGATCCCGCTAAAAGTGCTAGTAAAGCCCGTACAGTACCCACTGGTACTAGCAATATGAGATCAAGGCTGCCTCATGTACGCCTGCGATGGACCTGATCGCATATGACCAGCGCAGGATCTTGGGATCACTGCTTGATCGCAAGTCGGTGCCGGGGCCACGCATACCAGCATATAAAAGGAGACCCATGCCTGTCGTATCCTCCAGCTCATCTTCTCCTTTCGAGTTCACCGAGTAGGTTGCCGGCAAGTAAGTCTTCCGACGGTAATAGAGTCAATATTGCACTTACCATTTGCACCCCTCCAGCCTCGCTCTATTGTTTTACGACTCACGTTCTTCCCGCCGAAATCCTTGATAACGACCCCAGCACATACAAGACAACATGCGCTACTCTACACTCGCCTCTACTGTCCTTTTGGCGGTGGCCACAGCTCCCGCACTCGCTCATCCGGTCACCATGTGAGTGCCTCGCTATTGATTTTGATCTCATGGCTGAGCATACAACAACAGTCGTGCGACCGAGGATGCCTCCATGGTCAGCGAGCGCGAGCTCCAAGACGTACTGATGGGGCGCGGCTACTACGACGACATCCTCTCGCGGGACCTCGAGGCGCGTAAAGACCCTGACAAGGCAGTGCCGAAGCAGGCCACTGCGAGTGCCCAGGGGCAGAGGCGGATGACAATGGGCCAGTGGCGGCAGCGGCAGGCCGGTAGGGAGGAGGAGAAGGGGAAGCGCTTGCGTGAGTGTCTGGCCCGGGTTCAGGACTCCGCGCGTGGACTCACAATGAAGCAGCAAACCCGTCTCACCCGCATCCGAACGGCGGCGCCGGGCAGGGGGCGGGAGGAGGCCAACACCGTTCCCGGGAGTATGACCTCGACGGCGGGCTGTTCGGGCGCGCGACCGAGGATGCCTCCATGGTTGAGCGTGCGCTCCAAGACGCACTGATGGAGCGCGGCTACTACGACGACCTCCTCTCCCGAGACCTCGAGGCGCGTAAAAACCCTGAAAAGCCGAAGCCGGACGCTGCTCAGAGGCGGAAGGAGTTGAGGGAGGGTCAGTTGAGGGCATTTGAGCACGGTATGGCCCAGGGTCATGACAGGCCGACTCAGATTTTTGGCCAGGGGACTCGACCTGGTCCGTCTCGCCCGCAACAGAGTGGCGGCGCCGGGCAGAGGGGGGGAGGCCAACACCGTCCCCGGGAGTATGACCTCGACGGCGAGCTGTTCGGGCGCACGACCGAGGATGCCTCCATGGTCGAGCGTGAACTCCAAGACGCACTGATGGAGCGCGGCTACTACGACGACCTCCTCTCTCGGGACCTCGAGGCGCGTAAAAGCCCTGAAAAGCCGAAGCAGGGCGCTGCGAGTGCCCAGAGCCTGGGGCACCTGCAAGAGCAGAATCGGGTGGTGGGGGGGTTCTTGCGGGGGCAGATGCAGGCGCGGAGGCGGGAGCGGGAGCAGATGCAGAGCCTCTCTCCCTCCACGTCTGGTCCGTCTCACCCGCATCCGAACGGAGGCGCTGGGCAGGGGGCGAGAGGCCAACACCGTCCCCGGGAGTATGACCTCGACGGCGGGCTGTTCGAGCGCGGCTTCGAGGCAGATGAGCTTGACTGAGCGGACAGCGTAGCATGATCGTGGCGCTGTACGATGTATCTCTGCCTGTCGTACGCATCGTGTACATTGTTGCGCATTGCTTGTAATGTGAATCGTAACGTGAAGACTCACTCGTGCGTGCTTGGGACTTTGAGGATCAATCAAGCATTGTTCATGCATAGCATGCATGTCAAACATCCCGAGCAGTAACTGTATATGGCCCGGTATTGGCTCGGTGGGAGTGCCGGTTATGAGCGCACGGGAACAATTCTACATACAGTACTTAGGTAGATTCAATTCGCAACACTGGGCTACGACGCGCGCATCTTGGGGGTGTACCGCTACGTCACTTCGTCTGACCAGAGATCGCTACTCGTGTGTAGTTTCACGCCTATGTCTAGCGACACATCCGAATCACTCTTAGTCACACCAGAGAATGCATATTCGGAGCAAGTAAGTACTGCCGCAGTGCGAGTCGTCCGAGTCCAGCACAGCGGTGAACGCGTCGGCAAGAACCGAGCTTCAGCCACAGACGCGTCTGAGCGCGACGACTCGGACCCATCGCACTACATAAGTATTCTCACTACTCTCTGCGGAGCCGTCGCCTTTCGTACACAGCAATCCGCGTATAGCGAGAAGCCTCGCTCGACTTAGGCTATCCTACTCGCAGGACGACCTCGGAGACTATCCGTGCGGTCCGCTTGAAGCACGAGTGTATGCACGCGCAAATGTGCAGACGGTGAGCGGGCAGACGATGCACAATGTCACGATGCGCCCGCGGCAGCACAGGTACAAGTCCGAAGGACCTCCGGCCTAGTCGTGCCCTACGTGTACTCGCGTCGCCTTTGTCTCGAGCGACATCGTCTGCATGCCTCATCTTTGCGTAGCCATCGTCTGCCAGGACGCGCGCATCATGGTTTTTCACATGCTGGCTTTGTCGCGGCTGGCCCTCACCTGTGTGAGTAGACGAGAGGGTGTCGTTCTCGACATAGGCTGTGACGAAGGCGGTAGTCGCGGCACGTAGTCTAGGTGAGCACGGTATCCGCTTGGCTTAGTGCCCTGATGTTAGACTTGCGCTAGTCGAACCATCTATATCTAATTTCCTCCCCAGACATTCTGCTCTTGATCACCGCCATTACCCATAGAACATGCGGCTACACCGGGTCCTCCTCGCTGTGATCGCTCGGTCCTGCCGGTGCGCTATATGTGACATGAGAACTCTCCATCGCAAGTACGTATCCATCCCTGTCGTAGAGATATTTGACTGAACTGTCAACAGGATGGACCGACCAAGGATGTTGAGCACCCGTTTTAGTTACTTACCTCCAACACGCCCAGTAGCTCGCGTTGCGCGGTCGAACCAGAACTAATCAGCCACGAGCTCAAGCGCGAGCAACCGTTGTTGTTCCTTCACAGTACCACGTCAACTCGTTGACCCTGGAATGGTGGTCGTTGCGACGGTGAGCCAACACCCGCGCAGCCTGGGCCGTCACGATGGTGCGTAGCGGCCGTTGTTCGGTGAGTCTTGGTCCGTTAATTCAACCATTGTAACATCTCGCATGATATGCAGTATGTGAGGGCGATGCATCGGTAACAAGCTACGCGCGACTGTCCTCGGATGCTGTGAGTGTACCATCAGTCTAGACGAGTATACCAGTTACTGATTATGGCTTCGTATGGTCGGTCAATAAGGTGCACACGCTATGCAAATTATGTGAGTTATTCCCGGTCATCTGGATCTTCCGTCGGAGCGCAATTGTGATTGTGTACGAGTCAGTCATGCAATTCGATGTACTGCCACGAACAACACATCATACCTGGGCGACACAGAGATGATCGATGGGCTCCCAGTGAGCCCGTCACATTCCGTAGGTTGACTGCCTGGAGATGGATCAGTTGTTGCGCGTTGATTGCGCGTATATACAGAGAATCTCACCTCAATGGTTGAACGTTGAAGCCCAACGGAGGAACCTGTCACGCCGATGTGATGTGGAACAACCATGACATTCGTGTTCTAATCATTTGTCGTATGGAATACTAAGTAAGCACCGCACATGTCATTGCCAACAACCGGCCCTTGACGAGACGTAGGCGTGGCCGAGCAGCCACATATCAAGTAGACTTGGGTGGTGATCCACCTCCCATCGTACTGCAGATGCACGCGTTCATGCTCCCACTTTCGTCCTGACCTCCGCGTCTCGCACTGCCCAATACACCAGCTGTCGCGGGACCGGCAAGCGTTCGTATCTGCGGTAGCCCCGGTACGCCGGTCGCGCTGCGCACGGGACGGGCGAGGAGCGTACGCATGTGTTGTGTACAGGGCGAGCGGGACAGATTCGGGGTAGGTTGCGAAGAAGTTGTGAGGTGCCAGCCTGAGGATATATTTGATAACGTGGGCGACCACGACCACGCGCGGTGCAATCCGCGAAGCATCAGAACATGCGTACGCATTGCGTGGGCACGAGCGGACAGCAGACCGGACAATAATCACTTACTTTGGGCCTATGCTGAGCAAGCTGATGTACTTTATTGAACCCTCCGTCCTGCGAAAAACAGCTGGCCGAGCTCTTGGATATCGCGCGTCGGTTGCGAGGGGTACCGGCGGGAGATATGTAGTGCGGTGTACGAGCCAGTTATAAATTGGGCATCATTGGCTCGAGAGTCATCTTTGTATGCGCTTGCGATGGAGGCAGCGAGGCGCGGACATGGTGAGAGCTTACGAGAGGGCACGAAGGTGCGGACGGTTGGCGGGCGGACGCGTACTTCCTCCTCGGCGAAAGCCGACCTTCAGCCACAGACGCGTTTGCTTCCCGCTTTGATCAGTCTGACTGACGTCGTACGCCTTGCAGGTCGAGCTGACCATCCTGTGCACCGAGCCCTGCTGCATACTCAGTCGCATGCGGGACCCGTCTCAACTCGCTTGCCTCTCCGGTACATTTCCATCACCGGCATACCTGGACACAGTGACCCGGACTAATGGCCATGGACCAATGCCTTCAGACGGCCTTGTCCGCAGACGTATCGCCCTTCCTCGGTCACTGGCAACAACATGAATTTTACTGCTTACCAGTCTAGATAGACTCCTTCCATTTCCGTGAACTCGGGCGACGTCTCGCGGTGTCCGGTTTCAATCTCCATCTCGGAGCTATGCCCAAACCTGCAGTGTACGTCTCCAGAACTGGGACTCATGCGAACGAATGCTGATCACTTGCGTGAGACGATACAAGGAACGTCCGAAGCTGAGATCGCAGGGTTCGATAGAGTTGCTTTCTGGCGTGGCTTCACGCTCGGGGTCGTCGGGACAACACATCATGGCAATGCACCGTTCGTTGGTGAGTTACTCACAGCTTTTCTCCGACTGATTCTCACCTCGGATTGAGTTACGTTCTCGATATGCCTTTCTGGATACACCGGCGCACGCATCGAACACGAAGGCAGAAGGCGGCGTTTCCTTTCCTTGCGCCGAAGCGCGCTGATGAGGCTGTACAACAGATCTTTCCATCCGCTGCACCGCATTCATCTGAGGTGAGTCTCCTGTCTGCTGTCGATCACTCCCAGTATCTCAGTTTTGCCAGTGTCCCGAACTAATCATCGGTCTCGAGGACACGCCACCAACAGCTTTCTCGGGCACATTCACCACTTAGCGATGCTGCCAACCCCCGGCGCAGACTTGTCGCTCGACGCGTTCTATGGCCATGCTAGTTGGATTCAAGTCGGCGACAGCTTGTACACTCATGTTGCTCGGCTAGACCTTGCATCTTCCGACCCTCGCGCCGGCTTGGCCTTGACCGACGGGAAGCCTTCGCTAGCAGGTGAGGTCGCATTGCATCCGTGATGAATGGCGGTAATGCACAGGTATAGGTGATGATGTCGCTCCGCGGTACGTCGTGCGATATCCGAGGATCCGTCTTGCCAATCGCTGCGTATGCCGTACTGTATTGTGGCCACGCACATTGATGGTATGTCCGTAAACACGCAACCTGAGCCTATATTGGCAGATGTGATTGTGGAGCCGAGGCGAAAGCCAGGACAGATGCCAGATATGCCTGTGCAAAGTCTGTGATATGGCTCAGTTATCTTTCTTAGTAGGTGTTCGTTGTTACTGTGTGCTCTACAATGAAGCTTACAGTGGAGGACTCAGAGGTGCACTGCCACCCTCTCGCCATGTGGGGTAGAACAAGGTTAGCAGTGTCGGATTTTGGTGACAGTCATAGGCAAAACCACCATGTCTGGGTTGAGAGTCGAGATAATGGCTGTTCATATTCTAGCAATGCAGTATTGGTACAACAAGCTGTGTTGAGGTTGTGAACAATCCATGCAATATCATCAATTGTCCACTGTTGCTGTTTGATGCTTAGTTTGGATCCACACATCATGAGCTCTGATCAGGCCCACATGCATAACATGCATGATATGTGATTAGGCCACTTCATTTCACATATCAAACAAGTCAAGGACCTTGAATTTCCCAATTGTCCTGATAGCAGATTGGAACATTGCAACTCATTGATGCAGTATATGGTATATATATAAGAGTACACAAGAGTCTCATACACTATATCTGCACTCACTATGAGCAACAGCACATCTGCCAGTGTACAAGAGCTTCAAGATGCATTCAACATTGTGTAAGCATTTACTCATACTCTATGGCTGAATACTCATGCTGGCTTTACCAACAAGATTCACTGATGATTGTGCATACATAGCATCACTATGTGAGTCTTCTCATTCCTAATTCCTGCAGATATTGAGGCAATCTTAGGCTTCTACTTGTTTGACTTTTGCTTGACATTTGACCAACAAGTCAAGTTCTTGTGGAACCGCAAGCTGTCCATTCCATCAGTGTTGCTTGCACTTATGCATTCATCAACCATGATCTTTGGTATATCTCAATTCGGATTTGAGGTTGCCCTAGGCTGCAAAGTTTGTTTATGCCTCATGAATGACACCCAACCGCTACTGATTGATGTGACATTACAGAGGTTTGCAACCAGTATCAAAACTGCTTCTCTATTCATTCTTATATTCTTGCAGTGATGAAATCTGGTACTACACCAATTATGGGGCTTACATTGTGCTCAGCATTGTCATATCAGGCATGTACTCTATTGACATGCCAGTGGCTGATAATGTGGCCTGACCCCATGATCTCAGCAATTTCAGCTTTGCGTGTCTATGCCATCAATGGAAGGCATTGGCAGCTTCCTTCACTCATTTTTGCAGTGGCCATTCCAGGGATTGTGCAAGACATAGTATGCATCCATGCTGATTGGTGTAGTATAGTTGCACTCACATGGGCTTTCAGTATACAATGGTCATGACCACTGCAATCAATGCCCCTCAGGTTGGATGTGTATTGACTGTGCCCAAACTCAAGTTTGACAGTGGGTAAGTCATTGTTACAAATGATTCTGACATCCTAATGTTAGTAATCACAATGGTCTTGGGTCAGTTGTAAGTGAGGTTCCCTTGTCTGGTGATCTCAAAACTCATGTGGGCTTCACCAGTCGCTGTTGCTTCTACAATTGTGGTCTTCACAGCAAACATCCTTGTCTTGGGAGCAACATGGTATCACACTTTGACAGTGAAGAAACTAGCCGGTGCAGCTGGTCAAAACACCACACTGGTAACATTGCTACTTCGTGATGGTAAGTCAGACACTATACATTGAACACATATACTCAGTTATCCTCAGGAACTATTTACTTTGGGTGAGGATGATCATGACCAGCCACACACCCAAATTCTTATTACATGTCCTCTGGTAGAGGACTGCTTGTCCTGGATGTCTTGGCTATTGTGTCTGTTTACTCAGAGGTAGGTGCAGTCTCACTATAGTGCCTTGGTCTTCTTTCCCATTTTCTCATCCACTGCTCATGACCAGACATTTTATGTCTTTGCTGCATTCCCCACTAGGTGAGCTATGATAGACCATACAAGGACCCATGGAACATCTCATGTAGCATTGTCAATATTCCAGTTTCACAGCAGTAATCTTGTCCCGCTTCTTCATCAACCTCCGCAGCACAGCAAACTCATCCCAGGGGACAACCTCTGAAGCCTCCATGTCTGATCTCCACTTCTCAGACCCAAATAGCCTTGGTGGCCAAGTCATCTTCAATGAGGATGAGGATGACTTCCTTGATGAAGACATGGAAGGTGAAGAAGAAATTGATGAAGACATCCAAGATGGGGTAGATGAAGTAGAGGTTGTCCACAGTGATACCATAGCTGAGGGCACCCAAGGAGAAGATGTCATGCTGGGAGACCTGGTATAATCACTGGCTTTCAGCATCAACCAGCAGAATGCAGGACATTCACAAAATGGCTCATGCTATTTTCTGGAACTGTCTTCACTATAGATGCTTGGGTTTTCTGTATTTATTGTGTTCAATTTGTATTATGTTTGAATGGCTATGGACTCCACCAGTATTCTTGAATGCATGGATCATTTGTAACCATATTGACTAACATTGCTTATAATTATTGTCCTTTGTTACATCAAAATGTGCACAGTTTTGGCTTTTATTTGGTAACTACACCATTGGATGCTAATTACATTGTTGAGGAAGTCCAGAATCATGCTGGTTGACATGGTTAGGAGCTACAGCAGAGGGGAACACTGGACATGCATGGACTCACAGACCTGACCGCAGCATAACACTGCTGTAGGCAATAAAACAGAACACAACCTCAGACAAACCAAACAAACACAGAGAGACGATGACACGCACTCGCTGACACTCACACGCGTCGTGGAGCCACCAGATATGTCCGCCCGATCGTTCCTACACCAGATGTACACGGTTTTGCCTCCACTCTCGTACCGAGCAAATTCGTGCAACGGAGACAAAACTGAACGTGCCCGTTCACGTGAAGCACGTCACTGATATACGTGTCGATGCAGGGCGCTGAGTAGCCCTGTAAATTGTGGCGTAGGTATCGTCGCTGAGGCCGATGGCTATGCCGTACATCTCGTCAGGCGAAACACCCAAGTGCCGATGTTGCCTTCCGCGTGTCCATGCCTGGTGCAAGAGTGTGCGTCTCGCTGAGCGATACGAGGTGAACGCGTCGATCAGACAACGTATGGTCATCATAATAATCTCCGACTTACATCTCTTGCTCTCGCTGTGATACACACAGATAGACCGCGCCTCTCATAGTCCGGCACTGCATGATCCGCGCCGGTCTACGCGCCCGGTTTCCGCGGGATGTACGCAGGCGGGACTGCTCCTGTGCAGACGTCGACCCAACCCGTCTGATTCTAGGCCATTGGCGGGACGGGGGCCGACCTCACGAGAATGTAGCCAACTAAGCGCAGTTCAGTAGCATCATAACGGAGGTACGACCCTCCGTTGATTTCAGCCTCTTCGCATGCAGGTATCGGACGTCGTGGTCAGTTGAATCTGTAGGAAAAACGTAGTCAGCCTGAGCCCTCCGCGTAACGGGAGTGCAAGACGGAGGGATGTGTGCGAAGAGAAGATGTAATGACGCGCGTGCTACAGTGGTGTAAGCTAGGGGCTTGACGAACCGGGGTCAGCGGGATCGGTACGAGCGGGCAAGAAGCACCTCGCACTCGTTGAGAGGTGAACAGACAGCAGGAGCGTCCTTCGAGCGTCCTTCTCGTACAAAGTCTGGGCCCAGGACGAGGTGCACAAGCGTTACTACGAACGCAGACGCAGTGAGGAAGGATCGGGGTGGTGACGACCAGCCAGACGACACGTCAGGTCTCGCTCCACCGCGCAAACGGTCAAACGGTCAAACGAAAGCAAGGCTCACCTGGAATACCGTCAACACCGATGACTTCGCCCGGTCAGCAGTCGCGCCTTGTTCTCCTGCATACGGAGGCTCTGCGACCGAGCGCGAGTCGTCGACGGTGTACCGCTGGGAGTTGAGTGCGTGCATTTGTGGCTCACTGACCATGTGCTGGAGATGCAAAGCGGAGGGCGCGTCGGATGGCTGCGTGGCTGAGAAGAGGGCCGAAGGAGTCGATGCGTGCATTCGACGTGATACAAATCAGTCTCTGTGAATGATACCGTTAGCAAACAATCGGTTATTCGATGTCGACGGGAGGGTCACTCACAGTACTTGTAGCGATGCCTAGTGAGTGTATGCGGCCCGTACGTTCTCGGTGACGAAGTGTTCGCTAGAGAGTAGACAGAATCAGAAAGACGCATACAGCAATTGTTGTAAGGCAACGGCGCATGTACACGGGGATTTTATGTGCCGGGGATATTAGCGCGAAAAAGGACGATGTCAAAGGCATGAGTCGCATATATGCGCGCGCGAACGCAGACGGACAGAGAAGCGGACCAGCACGACTTACAACGTAGTACAACGTAGACGTACAGATCATCGGCGAATCAATGTGCTGTCAACATGATCCACTCACCCTCCGTCCTACAACGTCGCTCTCCGTCGACTCGAAGCGTGGCGGCGCGATGGTGGTGGGGGAGTCGCGTTGCTGCGTTCAAACTGGCTCATCTAGTAGGGCCAACGGACTCGAGCGTGGGCTCGCTAGGGTCGTAGAGAGGCTCGGTGGGCCCAATCAAAAGACCGAGAACCCAGAGAGCCGTAGATGAACAGAGGGTCTTCAGACGCAAGGTCGAGTCGTAAGCTAAGCTGGGACGATTCAGGTGGTCAAGACTTTTCACGGGAGGAAGGCGCGCGTCTTGCCCAGGCGTACACCAACGGAAAGGTTACGAAGCAGCCGGAAGAGAGGATAGAGGACTTGTCTGGCAACTTGGAGGGTGCTCAGCGACTGACCGCCGCCGTGCGAGTCGTCCATGAACGCGTCGGCAAGAGCCGGGCTGCAGCCACAGACGCGTCAGAGCGACTGACTCGTCGCGCCACAGACTCTCACTGCTCTCAGTGCACCCGCCGCCTTTCGTACACAGGAATCGACAAGAGAAGTGTCGCCCGACGATGCCTGCGAATGTCTTCTGACGATCTCAACGCGTATCCGCTGCTCCCGAACATCCGACACCGTGACCTTGATCCCCTCCCGGACTCGCACTCTCCGCCTTCGCAGGCGTATACCACTAACGGCCTCGCCGTCAGCGTGCCAGTGTCGCTCGTAACTCTGAAGGACTGCACGCAGTACCTCGTGCTGCTAGGTGCTCATCTCCCATGGTCGCCGCCGCTAAACAAGTCCCGCCCTGGGCGCGACAATTCAACACGACTATTTTCTTCATCGACGAGGGAGAGGAATCAATGTTAATTGAGGCGCATCTGTCTGCTGAGTATAGGCACACCGTACGTCCTCCTCGTCCGATCAATTGCTCTCAGGTGCCTCTTCAGGAACACGACACACATACTCAGGCTGTGATGTGTCCTCTCCGCGAGTACCAGTCGAACAATGAGACCAAAACTCGTGTAAGTAGACGTTCGGATTATACGACACGAATACTTGCATCAGAGCGATCGCAATTTTTCCTGTTACTCTAACGTTGACTCGGACTAGATGCGCAAGTCCGGCACAGGGCGACGCCTGCCGTACATTCCACACAAAAGTGTTCCAGGACAAGAGGCATTGGATACGGGGCCCTGGCTCTTCCAAACCCATTTCGCGGACCACTTCTCGTACGTTGACACGGAGACGATGGCGATGCCCGACTACACCGCCAATTCGCGTCGAGGTGTGAGCGAGATGGGTGGTGGATGTGTATAATGGTAGACAGTCTAGATGTATGCCACATTAGATCGCGCCCTCTTCCAGCTTGCTGATCATACCTATGTCGTTGTGTGACTGTTGTGGCTGCTACCTCAAGTCCGTCTGTACACAGCGGGCTGGACTGCCTTGTACCGATAGGCTTATGTAAGCTGTCAGCGCGCAAGACCACCGACATCGACAATATGGGTTCTACAGCCTTGACCTTCTCTTTTCGTAGTTTCAACAGTTTTAGCAGGTCAACTGAGGTCATACTAATCACTCATTGACGTGTAAATTTGTGCAGGACCTAATGAGCAAAGAGGATAATTCGATTTGTTCACGCAGGCGCAAGGCTTCTACGGGCGCTTGCCCGATCCGGGCGTAGCCTTGCGGTCTGCTCTGCGCGAGTCCGTCTCTCACTTTTGAGATTGCGCGTATCAATGGGACTCCAAAGTAGCCAAGCAATAGTCAATGTAAATACAAGAATGACAGACCAAAGAGACATATGGGGGCTCTGACTCGATCCGACTCGAAGGCCCGTGCTCAGTGAGTGCCATCCACTCGGACTCGAACATGGCGGTGTATCGTCAGACGAGACGAGTGTATGGCGAGTAATGCATATGCGTGGTAAGAATTACATAAGTGTACAATGATCGTTCTATATGTATAGCGCACGACGCGCACCGATGCCGGATGGCGCATGTCCTTGTCCAATGACGAACCCACAGCTCGCATGCTACACCTCCGGGAGCAATCATGAGACGAGCTACTAACATCTATCTGGCTATGAACTCACTTTTTTCAGCTCTGCATTGCCTGCCCATCTCCTCCTTCGCTGTCTCGACACTCCGTCGTACTTTCTAAACGTGCTCGTTTCCGTGGCTGGGGGCGCGGCGCCGCCGGCCTAGAGTTCGTAGACTGACTCGGAAGGGTTTCGTCGAGATGAGATCCCGACGTACTTGCTGAGGGCGCTGCATTCGATGTAGCACTCGCTATGATTGGGTTATTCGGGGTAACGCTAGGGGTTTGCTTCGCTGCCGCTGCGGCCTTCTTCTTCTCGACACGCGCCTCTGCCTCCTTGGTTCGTCGCACGTCCTGGACAGCCCTGAGGGATGCGGCCATCCGGTGATGTGCGGCTTCACGCAATTCTGGGTCGATGTATGGAATGGGAGCAGTAAGGTGTCGAGGGAGGATTTTGCGGAGAAGGGCCGCGTTGTGCAGTGCATGCGTGTTGATGATGTACCGCGTGTCGTCTTTGTGCTCGATGTATGGCTCTTCGATCTCCGTGAGTGTTCGCTCCTGCTTTCGTCGTTTTCGTCCTGTAGGTTCACACCCTCCGTCGATGCAGTTATGCTGAACGTTCACGACACTGATGACGTCCTTCCAAGGTGACGTCAGTGCATGCGCGCGCCCACAAAATACAAGACTTACTGATGGACTGACACAATTCAGGTTATTGATGTCGATCTTGAATAGCTCTGGCATACCGAAATGGGGGTGCCGGCTGTTAGCCAAGGAGAATTGTTCTACGATGATCGTGTCGTCTTGGTTTGCGGGTCCAGTGGTCGGTTGTAGGATCGCCTTGATACGCCCGACACGTGTTGTATCAGCCTATGGAAATATTGTGTTAATGACAGCCGAGTTTAATGTGAATGCCGTACCTTGAAGTCGTAGAAAATCCATGAGCCGACTCGGCAGACATCTCCGGTGCGCGCGATGACAGAGAGGCAAGTGAACCATTGTGATTGAGGACTGTACTTGTCATCGTGCTGCTGATTATCGGACGATACAGCCTCCCAGGTCGTGATCTGGGATTCAGTCTTCCTGCGATGTATCGTACCTGGGCAGTATTCGAACTGTAGCAATTTTATGCAGCATAGGGCAGTAAAACGAGAGCATACCAGGTGGGGAAGATGCCTGGGATGCATGTCCAAGTCGTCGTTGAACGTCGTCGTTGTCAAAGTAACGGCGCACACGTTCGCCAGCCTGGACGAATTTGCCAGAAGGATCCTTCCACCATCCACCACTGACCTGGTGCTTGAAGCGATCCATGTCAGCGCACGCCCATGCGATGTCGCGACTCGGGGCCTGGTGGTTGGAAAGGACACTGCACATTCGGAAGATCGCGTTAAAGCATTCGAATATCTCAGTTGCATATAGTCCGGCTGGACCCTGATCCCGAATGTCGAAGAGAAGGTGCAGCAGAAGATGGAGTTTCGGCTTGACGAAGATTCGTTTTGGGTCGATCTGCGACCAGATGTCGAGGACATTTGCTATGAGTGTTTTGAGATCAGCCTAAACATCATTTGACGTCCGAGTCAGTGGAACGATCATTTGTACAAGGTAAAAGCAGGTTAAGTTATACCAAGTACATATCCATATCTTCTATCTCGGTGAACCAGAGAAGCGCGCCGAGCTCTCCTGTTGCTTTCCAGAGTTCCCGGACAAGTTGCATCAGCAAATGTGCACGTTGCTTATTCTGGGCTTAAACACCTTAATAAGTCGATCAAGGGCATTCAGTGAATAAGTGATCGTGCTTAATTAACGAGGTACCATTTCTTATTAAGGGGCGTGCTACTTGAACTGTCTTAATCAAGCTCGACTAAGTCGTGTGCTAAGCTGACATTAAGACTTGTAATCGTGGATCAAGTGGCCTTCAAGAACATCGATCTATCCATTCAAATCGTTCCATGGGACACAAATATATTCCGGAAATATGCCAATTCATTCTACAGTGTACAGGTCTGTCGTATGGAATTACAATATACTACTGTATTCACTGGCGTACACGAGCTGGGCATGGGCACCAATGACCATACAGAGAGCCGATCCGCGGGCAAGTAGGTAGGTCCATGGGCAATTGCGTGGACAGTTGCGTGCGTGGGCGGCTGGCTGGCCGAACGGGTGCACGGGAGCGCGGGCGAGAGGCGGTGCATGCTAAAAGGGTTGTGGGTGAGAGTGAGTGCAGGTATGTGGACAGGCAAACGGGTGGGTAGGCAGACAGAAAAGCGGGCAGGCCGCAGGCGGGTAAGAGGGCGATGACGAGAGCGTGAGGGAGAGCGGGCGAGAAGGCGACGGCAATGGGCCATTGAGTGCATGGGCGAGCGAGCAGGCAGGCGAGCGAGCTAAGCCAACGAGAAAGCAAGGGTGAGTTGCAGCGCGGGCGACATAGCAAGGAGGGCGAGGGCGGGTAGAGGGCAAACGAGTGAGTGAGCTAGCGATTGAGCGAAGGTGGGCAGGCAAGAGCAGGCGGGCGGGTGCAAGCTAGTGAGAGAGCGAGCTGACGAGAAGGCGAGGGCAGAGAGCTATCGAGAAGGCGAGCGCGGTGAGCTAGTGAGAAGGCGAGCGCGCGAATAGGCAAGAATGTACAGATCGATGGACAAGAGGGCGAGCGAGCGGGCAGGCAAGCACAGGCTCCTCCGAGTCAGGCGTTGTGCGCGCGCGCAGTATTATCTGGTGCTCGGTGTTCTCTAGCGACAGGTTCGGCAGGAGACTTGAAGCTTGAAGGGCTGTACTCACCTTTGTATCTCGAGCCGTGCAATGACTCGAGGCTGCGGCGCCGCTGCGCGCCATGCCGCTCCATATCTGTGCATTTAATGAGGAACCGTGACTTGGGATGCATATGCCATGCACCAGAACGTTGGACGTTGCGATTGGACTTGCGCGTTGGACGTTGGACGGTCAAATGTTGGGTTGGAGGACGTTGACGTTGAGCGCTTGAGCATTGCGGGCGACGTGTCATCGAAGTCTGATTGGATTTCCGTTTAGGGCAAGCCGCTGTGGCACTTAGCACGGAAACGACTGCGCCATTTTTCAACCTTCATCAGCAAGCGTACGTCGTCCAGCTTCGTCCATGAACTGCTCGGAAACATAACTACGAGGCCGCCAAGTACTAGCCCTCGCTCCTGCCCACTGTCCCAGACTCTTGACTTGCCTTGCCGCGCTTTCACCCGTTACGCCGTTCACCTGGGTCTCCACTCGCCACTTCCCACCTCTTCTCACTTCTCGCGGCTCTGGCGACCCGCAATCTGGCCGTGCCGACTCGCACGATTGGGAATACAGGAGAGCATTGAGAAGTAAGGGTGTAGCGAGTACAGAAAGCGGTCAGAAGGCTCGAGATCTGCAGGTATGTCCTCTTGAATTGAAATGCTCATCTTGTCTCCGAGTCTTCTTCCAGACCCCACATTCCAGTACCTGAGCTGCCAGCGACGTAACGAGAAGAACGCTGTGCACGCTGCCAGCAGTGGACATGGGGCATTCGTTCTACGGTTCAGACATTGCATGCGATTCAGACGTGTAGCTGCACGTTCGAACACTCATCTACGGCCGCATGTCACGCAGCGGACACGCTGAGCTGATTTCCAGGTGAGGATGTTGCCGACGAGCGTCCCCGGCGTGTCTAACATCGTCACAACTTGCGAATGACGAGACCGCGGTGCGGTCTACGGGGTATAAGGCAGCACAGTGATCCGAGTCATCGTGCTTGTCGTGCGCTCTTCGAACAACCATAACGGGGCATCGCGCCTAGGTCGCGGTACGTCTTATGTGCCTGCGACTGCCACCTTGCGCGACGAAAGTCACAGAGTGCACCACGAACTGAATTAGATCAGTACCTCAGGTCTTGCCCACTTGCTCGCCGTTCGCTCACACACTCGCCCGCCCATCCGCTTGCTCATTCACGCACGATCGCCCGTGTACTTGCCCCACACGTTCGCGAATCGCACGTTCGGTGGCTCGCCCGTCAACTCGCTCGCTCTCGTCGGGTGACGATGACTCTACAGCAATCAGTATTAGCACAGAATGCGTGCTCACAAGGTGGGCTTTTCGTATTATACGACGAGACAATGGTAGCATATTAGTAGAGGAACTGGCCAGATGTAATGTACCCTCCTCGACGAATCTATATACTATTCGGTGGTCCGTGTCTCAGCTGCCTCGATAATCATTATGCAGACTTCGAGGATTGCATTCGCCAGAAAGTGATTACATACTTGATTGTACGATGTTCCTTACTCATGCTTAATATCTGCTTACTTCTATCCTTACTATTTCGCGCTCGTTTGATCAAGTACGCAAGGAGAGTAAGTGATTTTCAAGCAAGAATCTAAGACGTGAAGGCTCGTAAGGTCCGTCAAGACGTGCTAAGTAACGTGCACATTTGCTGATGTTTTGGGCACATAGTGTCGTCGAGATGAAAGATTCCGAGCTGCTGGAGGGCCTTGAAGTGCTTTCCAATCAGATTGTCTTTGTACTGTATGATGTAGCGAGCACGTATCGGCAGAATATTAAGGCCATCAACCGAGGACGATTGTAGCCGCACAGCGAACATTTCGAACTGTTTCGGCGACCAGCTTGAGTGTGTGAAATGCCACACATACTTGTCTTGACCAAGCAAGTACGTATGTAGGAGTTCGACAGGTGTTTCGCGGTGGATATCGATACCTAGAAAGGCAACATAAATTGTTCACTATATTCCTCTGGAGATGACCAACGTAAACCTCACCTTCAAGTGATAACAGAGAGTTGAAATGCTCTCCAGGTCGCAACTGATTGCGTAGAGCTGAGGCACCATTAGAGCTCCTCGTACTACTGCAGTGAGAATACAACGTACGTGACTCGGGTGGGAGCTTGTTGTATGTCTCGGGTGGCTGTGTGACGACCCACTCAAGCAACTCGGCTTGAATCTCTTTCTTGATTACAAGGACAACTTGTGTACGATTCCCGCCATGAACACCCTTCAACCGGGCATCAGCAGTAGCAGGGGTTGTGATACGACGCTGCTGTTCATCGCGTGCCCGATCGAGAAGGATCTTGATCCAATGTTCGGCAAGCTTGTCCTTGGTACCTGTTTCCGTTTGTCGCTGTGTAACGTCTTTCTTGACACCGAGGGCTGCTAATCGAATCTGCGTCAGTACGTCGTCTCTCGTCTGTTGGGCAGTACGGAGATTGTTGGGCTTCATGGTAGTCGTATGAGTAGACATTCAGTGGTATGTGTCAAATAACATCGCTACGCACATCAACATCGAAATGCGCATGATAGTTCTGATCAGTTTCGCGTTCCTTTTCAGACCCTCCGAGCTTGCAGCGCCGACACCACATGTTCCCATGTAAACCAATGTGAGAGCAATTCTCCGATTGTTGTGGATTGTCGGCAGGAAACAGGCAAGGAATCACACGAAAAAGAACCTCCTCTTGAACTTCACAGTCAAATGCGGGATGCCAGGTGTTTGCGCCTCTAGAGTTGGGAATTGGTCAGTAAGAATTTGAATGAATCATGTTGACGATTCAAAAATCTGACGTTACCGAGTCGACCATTGCATCAAATTGGGCGCCGGCATTTGCATGCGGTGAAGTCGAGCAGAAGCGGACGAAATATTCTTGGGATAGTTTCGTGTGCGGTAGATTGGCATGTGCAAGGTATATGTTCGTGTGTTCATTGTATTGCTTGCTCTTGTTTCCTGACACGTCATCACCCCAGGCCTTCACATAGCTCGTGTACATTCGGCGACCCTTCGCTATGTCCCGCAGAGGATTGCACCCATTGTAGATACCCTTGGGTAATGGGCCTGAGATTGTGGCGGGCGTGCGCAGTAAGTAAATCAGACGATCATCAAACTTGATTGTCTGTTTGTACTGATCGTGCGACTCACAGGACAGCCTGTTGCCAAGCCCGTTGCTTTCCAGCTCGGGATAGTTGATATGGAGGTCAGAAGTCTTGAACTCAACGAGCGTGTCAAGCCGGACATCAAACTGTGTGTCGCCCCCCTTGACACGAGGTCGTGAATGAGGGTGTGTCGCATATTGTAGCTGAATGTCTCACTCACTTGCTCAGAATCGGTGACCATGACTTCGTAGCCTTCACCGTACACCTCACCCTGTGATTGGTAGCGGTACCATGTATGTGGAATAACCAGCTTGCCCGACGCGAGCATTGCGAGCTCTCCGATGTACCAGTGTGTGTGTCCCTGGGCCCACATTGGTGTGTGCAGTTCGGGATCCATGTCATGTACGAGTCATTTAGTATGGTACGTCTCACTTATTGTCGATGTCCTGATGGGGTAGATTTCGACATGTGGCCTCGTCTGAGGATTGGCATAATCCTATGACACTGTGAGTCAGTTCCGAGTCGCCCTCCAAATGCGCTCACTAATAATCTGCACACATACCAAGGCTAACAAGTCAGACACTCGGTTCTGATAGAAAATGTCCCCTTGAGGTGAGTGTTTGACATCGGTGTGTACGCCGCAGGTCTGATGATTCAGGTGGTCTTGGGTTTTACGAAACTTGCTGAATGTCGGCACTCCTGAAACACCCAATTCCCGCAGCGCCCAAAGTACGACTTTGAAGTGATCACTTGACAGCCTGAGACGTGGGAGATTATCGAGCATATCGAGGATGAACATCTATTTCGGGATCCATCATTGCACGTCTCGGAGACTCCCAGGAGACTCTTACCACTTTTGATCCATGCGGATACCAGGGTCCTTTAGACTCTGCTGGCCCTGCATATTGTGCCCCACCACCTTCATCGTCACTGATATCGTCTTCTTCATCATCTGACAACCCTGGATGAACAACTCGCAGTCAGCAAGTATCATTCGGGGACATCGAACGGCTTACATACCGAGGTTGTCAAACTGTATGTCTATGTTCGTTCTCGTGGCATCGTCTTCAGCATGAGGTGCAATTGAATCACTCCATGCAGGTGTACTGTTCCCAAACATATTCATCGACATCACATCATCCAGTGAACGCCAGAGGCGATCGTGCTCTGTCTCTCTCGGACCCGCGGAAAACATGATGGTGTTACCCTCTCCGTCATACATGAGACCGTCGACGAAGCTTGTGGACGCAAGCGGATCCGTGTCGTGCAATGAGGCCTGTTGGCTGATTGTCTGTGAGTTCCCGACTGCACTTGGAGCACGTGCTAAGGATGCAGCACTGAGATCGCGAGCTGCTCTGAGTTGCTGTGCAGCGAGGAGACGCTCAGCATCTGCAGATTTCAGCAATGATCCCTTGTGTTGAGGTGAGCCTTCATGACGAGCAAGACCTTTGCGCTGAAATACACAGGGTTTTCCAGCAAATTGAGAGCAGGGCCCACAGTGAATATTTCCGCCGTCGCGTTCACTGAAGCCTGACAAAATGAGTGCTCGAGGTAAGACAATTATTAATATGAATGGCATGCACATACATGCCGGGAGCTCCTTCTTTTGTGGGGCCATGTGCTTTGCTGCAGACTGGCAGAGGTCGTCAAAGAAGAATGCAAGAAGCAGCTTAAAATCGAGCTGAGCTCAGGTTCACCCGATCGTCCAGTCGATCACGATCTCTGCCCCTGGTTTGGTGAGTCATCAGTCAATGTTGCGCCACTCTCCCTGTCTCTGCCTCCCATTGACGGTTCCACTGCACAGCCTGCTGCGAACATGGTTCGCTCTATGGCTGAGCTGCGTTCAAGTGCCACACCTCCTCGTATTCTCCCAGGTTCAATTAACCATGGCTCACTGTGGACAGTCCCAGGGCCCGAAGGCGAAGCCACCGGGAGCAGCACAGATGGCCCTACAGATGCCGCTCAAAATTTGGACAGACCCGAGGATGCCGACGTGGATATGGAGCCCATCGAGCCAGTACAGCATTCCGACAGGGAGATGTCAGCCATTGACCCGGCTCTCCGTGTTCCTGATGCCCTCGCAGCGCTGCGAGAGCGGACATCACACCCTCGCAACCAGTTGCAATTTCTGGACCCCGTTGCCTCGATGTTCCAGTTGAAGGGTGATGCGAAAGTAGCGCTGCGACGCTTCATTGAGGTGTGCACTGGACCACCTCGCGAGTCTTTCAACAGTCTAACATGTACGTGACTTGGACACATAGGCTCGCAACGTCGAGCGGGAAGTAATGGCCTTCGGCGCTATGATGTCCATCAAACAACTCATTGAGTCGAACACGGTCGTGGCCAACGAACTGTGGACTATACCTGAACGCGTTGAGGTACGTCAAATGTTGTCTCCGAGTCTGTCGTACATTGATATTGGATGTTCGTGATGTGATTTTTGAATTGGTAGGCCGAAATCGATAAGTATGCAATCCGCATCCTCTTCTCGCCGCAGATCGCAGCGTATGATCAAGGACCACTTGATCAACTTGCGGTGAGTATCCTAAAGACTTGTATGTGTCGAAGATCTGCTAAATTCGTGCACTGGCAGCTCATCATTAAGCGTAAACGATGGGGCTTGTCAGCGACAGTTGACGAAGATGAGGATGGAAAATGGGACAAGCTGTTACACTATGCACGCGGCCGGCTGACACAGAGGAAGTCCGAAATGAAGAAGGCGGTACAGTTGCTAAACTTCTGCGTACTGGCCCACATGGCTCACTCACTGTCTCGTTGATATGCAGATTGCTGCATCTTACGACCGCAAGGAAGTCCTTGCAACCGAAGACGACTCTCCCTTGAGCAGTGGCCACGACATAGTCAAATTATGCAAATCTCTGCTCAAGATCGGCACCAAGAAGATACCTTCAGGTACGAACATCAATGTCACACCGCAATTTTGCACCCGGATCGCTTTCCTGGTGAGTTGCACCATTGCATGACGCACTCCCTCACTCATGAATCACTCTTGGACTGTATAGCGCTCTGTTCATTTCGAGCACGGCTCAGTGGAGACGTACTGGAAACACGCCGACGATGAACTCATGAAGGTTCGCAAGGATCTGGATTACGAAGACGATGCATTGTCTTAGTGCGTCATTCGGACTGTCCTTTACATTGTGATGTATCGCCAACCGAAAAATGGCATAGCTTCATGACGCAGGTACTCAAACGCGATCGCCAGCTATTCCCGTGTAAAAACTGGGAACATGTTGATCGCATCAAGGCGTCGGTCAGCCAGACCGAAATTGATCAAGTTCTGCAAACCGGACGCGCCGAGAACATGCAGGCTGAAGGCTGATAGCCCATGAGAATGAAGGTCGTGATAGATGTTGAAAAGTGTTCAAATGAAAGTCATTACATACATTTCCTGCTACGTTTGAGGGGTATCTCCGAGCCCGATGCATCCTCCGCATCTCCATCACCAGAATGTCCTTCCCGTGCATCCTCATCGGAGACACTCGGGGCACGTCCCAATGTATTACGTGCAGTGCGCAGAGCACGGGTGAGTTGCTGTACCTGGAAACTCAGTGCAGCTGCACGCATGCGATGATACGCAGACTCGGCCAGCGCATCATTGAGTCGAGCTTCAAGGAGATCCAAGTTCTCGAGCTTGATGTCTATACCCCAGTTATTCGTGGCCAAATGGGTGTGGATCGTAGATATATAATCACCATCGGGCGTGGACTCGCGGTCATCGCTATCCTGATGCACGGACACTTGATCTTCATCTTCTTCCTCTTCCTGTACATTGGCTGTCTTTTTATTGTTCTCGTGAGCTGACAAGCAATTGAGCCATGAACATTATAGACAGTAATACATTAAGAAGTCGTACCACCATCTGGAGATGAAGCCCGGTTCGACGTGGAGCTGATGCCATCCATCCACTGTGTCTCTGTTGTCTGTGAGTGCAGCGCACCGCCCGGCTCAAAATGACTGTTGAAGATTGATATGAGCGACCCATAACTCATTCCATATTTATTCTCACCTTGTGATTGACACCTTCGCCCTTGTGGCTGCCTGGCGATGGGTCGGAAGACGTCGACTGGCAGTCGGCGCACTGGGCGCATCTTCAACCAGAGTCACCTGAGAGTCCCAGGTTTGCGACTCCACTTGGGGCTTCAAATTATAGTCTCTGAGGTTATCAAACCGATTATGGTTGTTTTCTGGCCTCGGAGGCATCTTCTCGAGCAAAGCCAACAGAGAAAAAAAGTCGACGGTGCGATCTCAGTGGCGGCTCCGTCCTGCGGCTGTAGATCATGTGATACTGAACTTCACCAACTCTCCGAGACCTTGCCACGTCCTGGCTCCGACCTCCTTGCTGCGTGGCGGTGATACCACTGAAACAACAAGTCCTCTCCCTCACCTTTGACAACCTCCACGCTGATCCCTCTGCACCGGTGCCCACGACGACTTCAAAGATGTTGTCAGTCCTCCACGCACGCTATGTGCGGCGCTTTTGGAGGGACAACTTGAGGGGTTCACTGTGATGATGCGCATCATCACCGTTGATCCTCAAGCTGTCCGCTCCGTGGCTCAGCCATATCAGTGTTGGGGCATGATCGCGCTGTGAGTTATGTATGATCACTCAGATTAGTTCCTTATTCCTCATTCACCGCTTCGCTCATGGCCCAGCAGTGGCACAACACCCTCGCACCTCGCACCCTCCTGCCTCGCTGAAGCCGGTCATACCAAACCTTCACTATCCTCGCCCACTCGCGAAGTCACCCGCGGCGCGCAATACTTGCGTGCAGCCAGCTGCGCACCGGGTATACCTGCAGTGGTCTGGGGCATGCCCTGCCCCCCCGGGCGAGCGACGACCCCGCACTGCAGACGGCCCTCGCCAATGCGCTGCGCACAACTCAGCAGCTGCGCGGCAGCGACACCACCCACGAAGGGCACGGAGGCACTCAGGCTGAGCGTCACTCAAGAGGTGGAA